CTTGTCCGTACCGCGTGTAGCCGCGCGGCACGGGGTTCGAACGAGCCGGGATTTAAAAATGGCGGCGCCCGGCTTATGCAAATGAAGCCCGGGAAATTCAAATCCCGGGCTTCATTTGCAAGTGCGGTATGCCTACATTACCCTCCTAGTTCGAACTAGGAGGGTAGTGTAGACATACCCTAAGCTCTTTAGCACAGACACCATCCTTTCTTTACTCGCCTGTACAGTGCCAAGACCAGAGATGCCCTGATTTGGTACGTTAGGTGCTACTGGAATTCAAATAGTAAATAATCTTTTCAGTTCACACAGTTCTCTCCAAGTTTGATCCTTACCCTGTATCCAGAGCACTAACAGCCAGATGAGATGAGCCTGTGAGATCATCTTGCTATGTCCTACTGGCTGGATACTGATGAACAAGCAGTAATAAAAGATAGAACTTTTATAATGGCTCACAGGAGCAAGAAAATATCACTTGGGTGGGAATATGCAAATCTGGGTCAAATGAAAATGCAAACGATGAATAGATATGCACAAAAAGGCAAGGGAGACTCCAGTGTAATAGGCAAGTTCCACCCTATGGACCTTCTATAGCTCCCTCAGTAAAGACTGAAATGACACTTGTCAGGTTCACAAAAGTGTTCTCAGGTCATAATTCTTGTTGAGGTCCCAGTCAGGAGCCCTGTTCTTCTGGAAACCTCGTGGCAGCAATGACACAGTGTGTTCCCTGTGAGCGCGAAGCTGAGGAGCAGTGTGTGCGGCTCTGCACGGGTCTGGTCAAGCACTCGGCACATGGGGGAACTTTGAACAGATTAAGGCTTGAAGTCAGGAGTCTTTCCACAGACTTCACTGCGGTTTGTATCAGGCCCTCAAAGTGAATCTATACGCCTCTCTCTTTACACCAGTGGGTCTGACCCGTGCAGCAAGACTGCATGCTGAATTTAGCTTGTTCCTGGGTTCAGCCACCTCCCAGCTCTCTACCTGTTACCGGCCAACTCTCAAGCTTTCCCCCCCCCCCATGGGCCAAGACTTGTCCAGCTTCTCCACTTGTCTGAGGACTCAGCTCTGGGGTTGGAGAGAGCCCCCCAACACTGGACATCAGAGACCACCCAGATCTAAAGCTGCACAAGAGTCTGAACAGGGGGGCCAGTCGGCAGGTCAAGAGGGAAGAGAGGAGTCCTCTGCAGGCTTGTGAGCCAATAGGAGCGAGTCATGGGGAGAGTCTAGGGGCAGATAGAAGATTAGTGGTACCTCCAGACACAGCATCAGTGCTGCAGGATGGGCTGAGCTTCCATCAGAACCTGCACCAGGCCCCCTCCAGTGTCACTGTAAACACAGTACTTGTGCTTAGTATCCTCAGATTCCACATGACTGATTTCTGCTGTGCTGCTAAATCCAACCTACATGTCCCAGACATCTACCCTCGTTTGGCAGACTGTGTCTCTGCCAATAGCAGTGTTGACCACAGTATTATAGAAGAGTCGGCAGTGGGAGCAGAGACCTCAGCCTGGTGTTAGAAGACTGATCAAAATGCTCTCTGAAATCTAGAGCAGGGGTGGCCAACCTGCGGCTCACGAGCCGCATGCAGCTCTTCAAATGAAAAATTGTGGCTCCCCCCCCCCCCCTGGCCTCGGGCTGCTCCTGAGAGTGCCCCTTTTGATTTAAATTAGCCATCCCCATTAGACCCACTAATTCAAACTCTGGAAGATGGACTGCGGCATCTTCGATCTTCTCGGTAGTGTAGGTGAACTCTGACAGAGAGAGACTCAGAATGTCGATGGTCATCCTACAGAGAAGCGCTCTCTGGCAATGCCACCTGTACTTCTGGTTGTACACAGATTCTGCTTCCACCAGTAATTTCTAGAGACTTCCTATGGCAGTTGCCATTTCTCAACTGCTCTTCTGGACTTGTATTGCAATGTTAGTGGGAAATGGGATCCAGTGTGTAAGAGGAAACACTTGTCAGTATTTTAAAGGAAGCTGCAGAAGATGTGTGAATATAGAAACGTGTAAATACTGGCCGTGTGCTGCTACTTTGATGAGGGATCTGTAGACATGACGAGAAGGAGAGGACAGACGGGTTTGAGGCAGCAGCAGCAGTGTAACACTTTGTCTGGCTGCAGGAAAATAGCTGTTACAATGAGGAACAGAAACTGAAGGCAGCAGGGAGGTTTCTGTATTGGTCTGTATCACTGTGAGCTCCCAATTTGACAGAAATAATCTCCAGCATCATCAGTTTCTACTCGGCTGATGGTGAATGTGAAGTCAGTGCCTGACCCGCTGCTTGTGAACCAGTCTGCGATCCCAGAGGGACGGCTGGAAGGGCTGTGAATGAGGAGTTTAGGAGCTTGTCCTGATTTCTGTTGGTACCAGGCCATCAAGCTGCCAACACTGAAACTGGCTTTGCAGCGTACAGTGACTGTTCGGAGTAAGGGGGATTTAAAAATGGCGGCGCCCGGGAAGATGCAAATGAAGCCTGGGATATTTAAATCCCGGGATTCATTTGCAACTCTGATTGCCCTCATTTGCCTACCTAGCTCAAACTACCGACCTAGAGTAGACATACCCTTTGTGTCTAACTGGTTGGCCACCACTGATCTAAAGTAATCAGTATGTATAGGAAAGTGCTCTTAAAGAAAGAGGAACAATGCCGGGAGGTTTTTGTATTGCTCTATATCACTGTGAGAGGTGAGCTCCTGCTTTGTAGGCAATAATAATCTCCAGCATCTACAGCTTCAACCCCGCTGATTGTGAGAGTGAAATCTGTGCTAGATCCACTGCCGCTGAACCGGTCTGGGATCCCAGAGGCACGGGTGGAAGCAAGGTAGATGAGGAGCTTAGGAACTTGTCCACTTTTCTGCTGGTACCAGGATAAGTAGTCACTGCCTGAGTAAGTGAGGCTGGAACTGGCTTTGCAGTTGATGGTGACTCTGTCTCCTGGAGACACTGCCAGGGATTCTGGAGTCTGAGTCATCACAATGTCCCCTCTGGCATCTGGATTTAGGAATAATATTTAATTTAGTGCATTATAATATTTATAAAATATCTATGTAGTGACAGTCTTTATAGAATTACTCTAGCTCACCCCCTGACTTTAGTAACCAAAATAAAACTCTCTCATTTTAATCCACTTTCTCAGTGGCTCTCGGCTTTCTTTTAAGGTCAGTTTCAAATATGAGAAACCTTCTCTAAAGTGAGTGATGCTCCCTGATAAGGGCATTGTTTGATATTCAGCCTCTCTAGATTTAAATTCTTTTGTTTTTGATTGGCTCAATCAGTAGCTCTTTAGGACACAGACCATCTTTTCATGATGTGTCTGTACAGTGCCCTGGTCAAAGCTGCCTCGAGGCCTATTTAGGCCATTGAGATGCTACTGCATAAAGAATTAGTAAATAATCATTGAAATTCAGACAATTGCCTCTTGGTTTGATCCTTACCCTGGACCCAGAGCACCAACAGCCAGATGAGTGGCGCTTGTGAGATCATCTTGATACGTCTCTCTGCCCAGATGCTGATGGCCAAGTCATAACAAGCTATGGGATGATTTATAACGGCTCAGAGCAGCAGGCAAATACCACGTGGGTGGAAATATGCAAATCTGGCTCAGATTAAAATTCAGGTGCTCAAGAGACATGAACAGAACCAGAAAGGGCCCTGCCAGCTTCCATAAACAAGTTCAGATCCTCAGGGCCTGGGGAGCTCTGTCACGAAGGGCTGAAATGCCACTTGTCAGGGTGACCAAGAGTAATCTTCTCTGCTCGTAATCTGTGTCTAGACCAGTGGCTTTCACTTATATTCTCATGACTCAGTTGAAGAAAATTGTTGATGCCCGCCACCCAATGCAATTTGACTAGAGTTGGCTCTGGAATGGGCCTGAGATGAGTTTTGGGGTGTAGGAGGTGCCTCTGCCTTTCGGGTGTCAGGGCTGGGGCAGGAGGAGCTGTTCTTGAGTGACTTTTGGTCAGCAGTGAGAGGGGGTTACTAAGGCAGCTTCCTGCCTGTCCTGGCACCACAGATCATGCTGTACCCCAGAAGCATCCGGCGGCAGGTTCCCAGCCAAAGTGAGTGTGAATCTAGAGGCCAGGGCAGGGGCAGTATTTTGAGCTCTGTGTACCTCACCACCCCATCCCGGGCCTGTTGCCAGCTGCTTCTGGGGAGCAGCACAGTCTGCAGCGCCAGGACAGGCAGGGAATTACTTCAGCACCCCCACTATTCCCCTGTTTCCTTGCAGCAACGTGATCCAATACCTGAGATTCCATCACCCAGAACTGGTCTGCAACCTGTAGTCTGAAAACCACTAGTCGAGGTCCCAGTTAGCAGCACTGCCACAGCAGAGATCTCCTCACAACAATGATACCGTGTGTTCTCATTGACAGTGACATGATACGGAGGTTTGTGCAGGGGAGTGTGTTCAGGCGTACAGCAAACATGGGTAAACCTCGACTGGGCCAATTATGTCTTGATCTAAACTTCACTGACCTCAGTAGGAATCTTTCCATTGGCTTCAGTGGGGTTTTGGGCCAGTCCCTGGTTCTAAGTCCCTGTGTTTTCTTCTTCACACCTAGGTGTTAGCACCACTACAGCTAGACTGCTACGGGTCTGTTCCTGACCTCAGCCCCCTGTACTCCTCCCAGCTCCAGGGGATGGCACAGCACCATGGCAAAGAGGGAAGGGCTCTGAGGGCTGCATGCAGCTCCTGTTGAGGCCTGTCAGTGCCATGCCACGTCTCTACTATGTGAGGTGAATACGGAGACCATGGCAAAGAGGGAAGGGCTCTGAAGGCTGCATGCAGCTCCTATTGAGGCCTTTCAGTGCCATGCCATGTCTCTACTATGTGAGGTGAATACGGAGCCCTGTGCCTTGTTCCTTTGCTGCATCTGCAGCCTTCCCAGCCTCCAGAAGCCTAAGAGCTCAGATTGTGACTCCCCTCCCCCCCACATGGTACCACTGACAAAAAAAACCTGGGCTGTCCTCATGTGTATTAACTCTGAAATGCTCCCAGAGTTAAGAGCTCAGATTGTGACTTCCCCCCCACATGGTACCACTGACAAAAAAACCTGGGCTGTCCTCATGTGTATTAACTCTGAAATGCTCCCAGGGTGTTATAGGGCCATAAGTGACAGTCCCTGTTTGCATTTGGGGAACAAAATCTTTGACCCTGTGGAAAAATAAGTGTTCATAGGGACAAAAGTGACAGTCACTGTTCGCATTTGGGGAACAAAATCTTTGACCCTGTGGAAAAATATCCCCAGTTCAGGGGATATTTAGAATGAAGACCACCTGGATAATGTCCTTATTCCTATCTGGACTGAAAGCTGGGGAGCTGTGGAAGAACAGCAGTGTCTGTAGCCCAGCCCCCCCCCGAATCTCCAATTCAGTCTGGCAGTTGCACAGACAGTGACTGTGAAGGAAGCAGCTGTGACACGGAGTTGAACTGAACAGGCAGGTTTTTGTGCTGGTCTGTATCACTGTGTGAGAGGGGTGGTGTAATGCTGCTGACAGTAATAATCTCCAGCATCATCCGCTTCAACTCTGTTGATGGTGAATGTGTAGTCAGTGCCAGACCCACTGCCGCTGAACCGGTCTGAGACCCCAGAGGGATGGCTGGAAGCACGATAGATAAGGAGCTTTGGTGCTTGTCCTGATTTCTGTTGGTACCAGGCTAGGTAGTGATAGCTGCCGCTGGTGAGACTGGAACTGGCTTTGCAGCGGATAGTGACTGTATCTCCTGGAGACACTGCCAGGGATTCTGGAGTCTGAGTCATCACAATCTGCCCACTGGAGTCTGAATTCAGAAATGGAACATCAGTTAATATATGCATGTGTAGTGTCTCTAATCTATACATATAGTAGAAACATATATGATATATACACATCATCAATAGTATAGTTAATCAAAACAATATTAATAAATCTTCCAGTGATGATTCATCTTTGCAAATGACCCTGACATTGTTTGTTCTGGGTTTTTTCATTCCAATTTTTCAGTTTCTTGTATTTTTCTCAGACTTTTCCCTTTTAGTGGCAGTTAGGAGCCATTGTCTAATGTTGCTCTCACAAAGGGCAGAATGGGTGTGTCCATCTACAACATTTCTAGCTCTCTTAAATATTTCCCTAGATCATTGTGGCTTAAATGATCTGGATCTCCTTCCTTTGATCCTTACCTGTAACCCAGAGCACTAACAGCCAGATGAGCTGAGCCTGTGAGATCATCTTGCTACGCCTTGCTTGCTTGGTGCTGATCAGCAAATGCTACCAGTGACATGGAACGTTTTTAAGGGCACAGAGCTAAAGGACAGCGTCACTTGGGTGTGAAATATACAAATTGTGGTTCAGAGATGTAAATTTCCAACTGACTGGAAAGCCAGCAGAAAAAGAGAAATAAAAGATGCCAGGGATGAACTTGGCAGTTGCTTACTGCTGAGTGTTCAGGACCCAATTTTGATGGGTACCAGACAAGCCCGTATAAAGGGTCTGTCTATACTATCACATTTTGTCACCCAAAACTGCCTTTTGGTGACAGAATAGTGAGACCATACACATTGTAATTAGATTTTTTTGGAAAATATCCCAGTTTTGGCAACAAAATATTCTACCCTACAAGAGACTTTTCTTTACCCTCCCCCTTATTGTGGACAGAGACCCAGTGTAGACTCTGCTGTTTGGTGTCTTGTGGACAGAGCTGGCTTCTGCCAGTAACCCACCATCCCTGCTTTAATGGCTCTGCTTGATGATTTCATCTCTGCTGCCCTGTAGGCATGCACATCTCCCCTTTCAAAACTTGGGGAAGTATTTGATAGTAGCATGAGCTGCTCTGCTTGGGGAACAAAGACCAGATTTATTGGACTGCTCCTGTTCTTACCTGTGGCTGCCGATGGCTGGAGGAGGGGGGTGACTGCTGAACTGCTTTCACATTCCTCTGTACAGAGAATTGACAGAGCTACTCACGATGCTGCTCCCAGCAGCTGAGGGGAGTGTGGGAGAGCTTGGAGGGAATCCTAAGCTGTGATCCCACAACACTACACTGTGGGATGGTCACATAGTGCACTGCTCACATTGTCAGTGATGGGGATCCCAGTATGGACGTGATCTCTCGACAGAGGGATGAAGTGTGAACACCCTCTGGTAAATTTTGTTTTGTCGATTGTTGGGGGTTGACTTTAGTTTTGTTGACAACTTGTTAGTGGAGGCGCCCTCAGTTATAATCTGTTTCTAGAAATGACATTTCTCTGGCTGGACTGGAAATAAATATTCTCAGAGCCTCAGTGTTGCTTCCCTGCTGGGTTACATTTAATGGCCTCAGAATCAATGTTATACTTGGAATCCCCTTGCAAAGAAAAATTCAATGGTGGTGATGAGAGGTCTGCATTAGGGGGATCCGCCCAGAGAGAGGGACAGCCTCTCTCTTCCTAGCTGCTCCTCACGGGGTTGTTTCGTCATCACCTCACAGACTATAGCAATGCAGAGGAGAGCTGGGTGGTTTTTAAGCCTTAAACTATTTCTGTCATTTAAATCCTTAAAGTAGGTGCAGTGTGCACAGAAATAGGCTGGTCTCCCGTTAAATAGTGAGCCCTATGGCAGTGCTACCCAGGCACTGTTGAAGATTGTACAAATAGACCTTCAGTTTTGATTTAAACTTAGACTCCTAATTCTGCATTTCAGTTCTGTATCTATTTATTGAGGCCTCATTTACAAAAGCAGAGAACTTCCAGCCTGTCCCACTGGAATGGAAGCTGAATGTGGCCATCTGGTGTGAACTGTGTGCAAGTGCATCTCCTTCTTTAAAGAGGCTGGGTGCACAAAGCTACCTGCATAACATGCCTTCCTGAGACCTTGCTGTGGCTCCAGGACCCTGCAGTGCCCCAGATCTCTGCAACTCCCACCGGTGACCATGAGAATCTTAAAGGGTCAACCAGCAGCAAAAGGTTCTGCTGCTGCGACCCCCAGGCTGTAGGATTCCTTGTAGGGTTAGATAATTTTACAGTGTGTGAGGGACTCTTTGGGTATGTCTGCACTACAGAATAATGTCAAATTAAGATATGTAACTTCATCTTTGTTATTTGTGTAGCTGATGTCGAAGTACCTTCACTCAAATGGTGGCACTGTCCATGCTGCAGGAAGTCAAAGGGAGAACATTCTCTTGCTTTGACTTTCCTTATTCCTCATGGAAGCAGGACTGTTGACGTTGACCAGCGTGCCCCTTTCGATTTAAATTATCTGTCCCCATTAGACCCACTAATTCAAACTCTGGGAATTGGACTGTGGCATCTTCAATATTGTCGGTAGTGTAGGTGAACTCTGACAGAGAGAGACTCAGAATGTCCCTGGCCATCATACAAAGAATCCCTCTGTGGCAATGCCACCTGTAGTTTGGGTTGTACACAGATTCTGCTTCCACCAGTAATTTCTAGAGACTTCCTATGGCAGTTGCCATTTCTCAACTGCTCTTCTGGACTTGTATTGCAGTGTTAGTGGGTAGTGGGTTCCAGTGTG